TTGGGAGATGTAGCTATAGCAATACTTAGAAGAAATTTATAACCTTAAATGTTTACATTAAAAAGGGACCAAAATCCATGACCAAACTTCTACCTTAAGAGCAAAGAGGAAATTAACTCAAAGTAAACAGAAGTTACCAAACAATTAGAACAGAAATCAATGAAATAAAAAGTGAAAAAATAAAAAAAAATTATCAAAACTAAAAATCTGTTCTTTGAAAAATACAACCATGCATCTTTTAATAATGGGGATACACTCTGAGAAATGCATTATTAGGCAATTGCATTGTTGCACAAACATAGAATGTATGTAACACAGACCTAGATGGTATAACCTTACTACACACCTAGGCTTTATGGCATAGCCTATTGCTCCTAGGCTACAAACCTGTACAGCATGTTACTGTACTGAATACTATAGGCAATTGTAACACAGTAGTATTTGTGTATCTAAACACAGAAAAGGTACAGTAAAAATACAGTATAAAAGATAAAATGGCATACCTGTATAAAGCACTTACCATAAATGGAACTTGCAGGGTTGTATGTTGCTCTGGGTGAGTGGGTGGTGAATGTGTAGGCCTAGGACATTATTGTACACTACTGTAGACTCTATATAAACATCTTACACTTACGCTACACTAAATTGATCTTGTCATGTGGTAAGGTGTTCAGGGACAATAATATGCATGGAGCTGTCATCATCTATGATAACAATGCCTTCCTTCTGGAATACCTCCTGAAGGAAATGCCTGAAGCTGTTTTACAATTAATTTTTTTAGTTAGGAGTGCACTCTAATGATATAAACTACAGTAAAAACACAAACCCATAACATAGTTGTTCATTGTCATTATCAACTATTATGTACTGTAAATAATTGTGCTATATATATGACTGTCACCACAAATACAAGTGTTGCATTGCACTATGTTGTTACAACATCTACATCACCACCAGGTGGCAGGAATTTTTCAGTTCTATTATAATTTTATGGAACTACTGTTGCACATGCAGTCTTGTTGACACAAGTGTCATTATGTGGAGCATGACTGTGTATAAGTGAATAAATCTTTAACAAGACTTATATGTGTGTGAGAGAGACAGAGAGAGAGAGAGAAGGAGCAACCATCACAGACCCTGCAGACCTTTTTATTGGGGGAACATTATGAACAACTTTATTTCAATAAATTTGACAGCCTAGATGAAATGGACAGCACCTTGAAAGACAAGGTACCAAGGCGCATTAAAAAAAAAAAAAAAAGCAAGCATAAAATCCAAAATAGCCCTATATCTGTTAAAGAAACTGAATTTGTTGTTTAAAACCTTTCTGCAAAGAAAGCTCCAGGCCCAATTTAGTTCACTGATAAATTCTATGAAATATTTAAGAAAAACAAATACCAACGCTACACAAACTCTTTCAGAATAAATAGGTGGAAAAAAACTTCCCAACTCATTTCACATGAGGCCTGTATTAAAATGATTCCAAAACCAGATAAAAGCATTACAAGAAAACTACAGAATATATTTTATGAACATAAATGCAAAACCCTTAAAATATTAGCAAATTGAAGGTAGCAACATATAAAAAGGATACTATATGATGACCAAGTGGGATTCATCCAGAAATATAAGGTCGGCTGAATATAAAACCAAGAAAAGTAATTTTTTTAAAGTCCTATAATAACTTCAATGTATGGAGAAAGAGTATCACAAATTTCAAAATACATGCATGAGAAAAAACCTGAGAAACTAGGAATAGGAGGGAATTTCCTCAACCTGATAAAAGGCATCTAAAAAGCCACAGTTAATATCGTAATTATGAAAGACTGAATATTTTCCCCATACAGTTAGGAACAAGTTAAGTTTTTCTACTCTCACATTTTCATAATATTATATAATACTAGAGAGCCTACACTGTGTGGTAAGGGTTGGAGGAAAGGAAGAAAAGGAAGATAGATTGAAAAGAAGGAAGTAAAACTGTCTTTACTCTCAGATGGTATGACGGTCTATGCAGAAAATCCAAACTCTACAAAATAGCTGCTAGAATGATCTGAATTACAGAACTGAATTTATCAAGTACCACGACTCAAGGTCACAGGATACAAGGTCAACATACCAAAAAAAAAATCCAATTGATTTTCTATTAGCAATGACTAGAAATTTTAAATACCATTTATAATCGCTAAAAAATATGAAAGGTATAAAGGATAAGTTTAACAAAATATATGCAAGCTTTATGCACTGAAAACTATAAAACATTGCTGAGAGAATGTAAAGACCTAAATAAATGAAGATATACCATGTTGTTGAATCAGCAGACTTGATATTGTTAAGATGTCATTTTTCCCCCAAACTTATCTATAGATCCAATGTGATTCTAAAAAGATCACAATCTTATTTCTGGCAGAAACTGACAAGTTGATTTGTATCAAATTAAATGTATCTGCAAATGCAAACCTAGAATATCCAAAGCATTTTTGAAAAAATAACAAAGTTGCAAGACTTAACTAGTCATGGGCTGCATTATGACTTACGGTCAACAATAGACCACCTGTATGATGGTGGTCCCACAAGATTATAATACTGTATTTTTTCCGTACCTTTTCTGTTTAGATACACAAATACCCCATTGTGTTACAACTGCCTATGGCATTCAGTGCAATAACATGCTATAATGGTTTGTAGCCTATGAGCAATAGGCTATACCATATAGCGTAGGTGTGTAGTAGGCTATACACCATCTAGGTTTGTGCAACTGCATTCTAGGATGATCATACAATGATAAAATCACCTAACAACACACTTCTCAGATAATATCTCTGTTACTGACACAAAACTATATATGACTAAGATATTATAAAGCTACAGTAATAGATAGTACAGCATTGGCAAAAACAGACATGTAGATAAATGGACCTGAACAGAGTCTCAAAATAGAATTACAGATGTGTGAGGTCAATAGATTTGATAGAGGTGCCAAAATAATAAGAAATAACTGTCTATATGCAGAAAAATTTGATCTGTGCCTGGTACCTTATGCAAATCTGGCTTGAAATGGATAATATACCTAAATATAAGAACTGAAAACATAAAACTTCAAGAAAACGTAGGAGAAAATTTTTGTAACTTCAGATTAAAATCCATTAGATAGGCAAGAATAAAAGAAAAATATGGGCCAGGCATGGTGGCTCATGCCTGTAATCCCAGCACTTTCGGAGGCTGAGGCAGGTGGATCCCGAGGTCAGGAATTCAAGACCAGCCTGACCAACATGGTGAAACTCTGTCTCTAATAAAAATACAAAAATTAGCCAGGCATGGTGGCAGACGCCTGTAATCCCAGCTACTCAGGAGGCTGAGGCAGGAGAATCACTTGAGCCCGGGAGGCAGAAGTTGCAGTGAGCCAAGATCACACCATTGCACTCCAGCCTGGGCGACAAAGCAAGACTCCCTATCACAAAAAAAAAAAAAAAAAAAAAGAAAAGAAAAGAAAAGAAAAGAAAGAAAAATATGAATAAATTAGACTGTATCAAAATTAAAGACTTTTCCACAACACACAGGATTAAGGAAATGAAGAAGCAAACATAGGCCAGGAGAAAATATTTGCAAAACATGTCCTGATAAGGACTTTTATCTAGAATATATAAATTTTTCCAATTCAATACAATGACAACACAGTTTTATAAAACTGGCAAAATATTTGAATAGACACTTCAAAAAGGAAATGCAAATGGCAAACACGCATGTGAAAAGATGTTCAACATTATCATTATATTATTATGATCCAACTTAAAACCATGAGATAGCACTACACACCCACTCAAATGGCTAATATTTTTAAAACTGACAATCCCAAATGTTAACAAAGATGTATAACAACTACAACTCTTATACATATTTCATGGGAAAGGAAAGTCATACAGCCACTTTGGAAAACAGTGGCAATTTCTTATTAACATACACTTACTATATATGATGCAGTAATCCAACTCCTAGGTATTTACACAAGAGAAATGAACTATGTACATACAAGATGTATGCAAATATTGATAGTGGCTTTATAAGTAAAGGACCAAAGAGGAAATAACCCAAATGTCATCTAATGGGGAAGGGATAACAAATTTAGGTGTATCTGTATAATGGACTAATACCAAACAAGAAAAAGGAACAAATTACTGATATATACATCTTGGATGAACCTCAGAAGTATTCTACTAAGTTAAAAAAGCCAAACACAAAAGCTTAGATACTGTTTGATTCCATTTATACAAAATTCCTGGAAAGTCAAAATCATAGAAAGCAGTGGTAGTCTGTGGCTGCAGTTGGGGAAAAAAACTACAAAAGTGGCATGAAGGAGCTTTTTTTGGGGTAATGGAAACGTTCTGTTTTTTATTTTGATGGTGATTACATAATTATATATTAATCAAAACTCAAACTGTACGGTTAAAATGAGTAAATTTTACTACATGTAAATTATGTTACTAAAGCTAATTTTAGTAGAAATCAGGCATTTTCATGTTTTGAACTTAATGTCCATATACTAGTTCTGAGCTCTAACTTAAGTTGTTAACATGATGATTTAGCCAGGCATTTATCGGTTATATTCTAATAGATTTTATTCAAAGTCCTTCAGCATTTACAGTCACAGAAAAATACCAGGATTATTATGCTCAGGAGCAGCCATTCAGAAGATATTCATGAGGTAAATTACAAATATGCTTCTGTAACTTTGGTGAGGAACTGGAACCAGAGATACAGGTTTGGGAGTTGGGAGTCATTTGCAGAAAATAGTGGAAACCGTGGAGTTGATACAATTGTACTCTTCTTTCACTCCACTTCTCACTGCTTACTAATCTACAGAACCATAGGAAATGCTTAGTCAAATTTGAAATAACTGAATGACTTCAGTTTTTAAAAGGTCAACTTTTCTATCAGATCAAAGTGTTAACACCACTGAATTTAAAAACATCGTATATTTATATCTCCAAATTCTTATCTCTCACCTGGTTTAATTTTTCAGTATGATTCAGCCTTGAAGTCTCCACTACATTTAACTTGGAAGTCTTTTCCATGCTCATTATTTGCTTCTGTGGTTCCATGTTTGAAGTGGGTTGTGAAAAGCATGCCTTTGCTACCGGAAAGCCTGCGGAGTATGACCCTTGTTTCATTCTAAATGGCTGGGTAAAAATTTTACCTTTTGCGAGTAATAGAAGAAGAGAGAAAAATTGTCACTAGCACCTTCTATTTCATTTTCTGGTGGCTACATATAGAGGCTACTGTGAGCTAATTGCCTTCAACTTAGAAGTAAAAATTAATAAAAGAAAGCTTACAATTTTATATCAAGCCAAAACTTACATATAGTATAAGTTATTAGTCATCCATAGAGGAAAACAGAGATCATAACTGTTACCAAAAAGGTTGGGGCTATCTAAAAGTCCACTTAAGGTCACCTGAATATAATTACAGAGAGGTGGGATTCAATACGTAAAAAGCTGTATCCTATTTAGGAGACAAAAAAGTCTCCAAGGAGCCTGCTTAGCACTATGCTTTTCAAACTGGAAAACCACTAGTAGTACCACAGTTCTGGGAGGATGAAAAGCTACAGAATAAAGTATAAATTCTTCAAGATTTGTAGGAAGGGGGAATACCACTGGAGAGGTGTATTCTGTTGTATGACATGAAAGATACATCACCAGACTTCACCACAGCCTAGCTCTTTCTTTACCCTAAGGCCAAGTTCATAAACAAAACAAAACAAAACAAAAACCCACCAGTTGACTTCAAGATATCCTGACGATAGAAGTAGGAACCATGGATGGAGAACATGAACAAAATCACTGGAAAGGAATATTCACCCCCCACTACTCAATAAATTGGTAAAGTGCTTTCTACAACTCAACCTCTTGCACGTTTAATAGTATGAGTTAGTCCTTCCAAGCTTTAGGACTTCAAGAATACTGATAAAGTTGAGGGCTAGACTTAAACACTTACTGGCCTCCAGAGCCTTCCCTATCCAAGTATATCCTCATATCCTCAAACTACATCACCCAGCACAGTGTAAATATTGGTTTATAAACATGCGACACATCCTCATAGTTCACCTACGTTAATCTAAATACAGATTTTAGAGAAAAAGAAAATCACTGAAATAGGCACAGAATGCTCCCAAGTAGGCTCCGGCTATGCTCAGTGTAGAAACCATATATTGTCAAGGGAGATACTATACAGATGGTCACATCGGTCTCTTGAGCCTTTAATGTACAAAGCAGCTGGGCAGAAACTCACTGCATGGGCAGCAATAACAGCTGGGTATCTAACTCTAGCTGTACCACTTTTCCAGCCATGTGGCTTTGGAAAAGCCATTTAATTTTCCTGAGCTTTGATTTCCTTATCTATAAGACACGGTTACTTACCCTACCTAGTACGGTAATGAGAATGCAAGGTAAAATGCTATACAGATAAGGTGGTTATTATTACACCACAAAAATTACCAAAGTGTCCCCTAGGATAAGCCCCAGTGATGGCAAAGATTAGCAGGGTTAAGGCTAATCATTTAAATATTTTAACTTTTCATTTTCCATATAGCTTATTTACATGAACACATTCATGTAAAGTTCACTTACAGTGTTATAGAGAGAGCTGATCTTGTAGTTTTTAAATAACAGCTACCACTTATTATCAGCTTACTAAATGCCAGAGACTTTACAGAACTCACCTCATGTAAGGTCCTCAACACAACCCCGAGAGGCAAACATTGTTATTTCTATTTTAAAGATGAGGAAACTAAGGTTTAAGTAGATTTAAGTAGATTGAACAGTTTGCCCGGGACCACTGAGCTAGCAAGTAGTAGAGCCAGGCTACAACTCTAACAAACTCATGGACCTTAGCCATTACACACCCCTTTATGTGCCAGGACTGCTCCAACACTTGCTCACATGCATACCTGCTGGACATCCTCTCTGCTTTTCCTCTGTTACATTCTTCTTTAGCATCAACAAAGAACCTGCTCTGGTCTGCTCTACAGAAATGACATCTGAAGCTGCATTCAGCACTTCAAACATAGAGAGAAATCCATATTGCATGTACTGGAATGATCGTCCAAATCTTTTGGCAAATGCCTTTTCAAAATCAGAAAGGAGAACAGGAGATAACGCCAACAGGTCCTTCAACTCACTCTTCACAACAGCTGGAAGAATAGGGGCAACCCTTCCTCGGTAAGGTACTCGCCGATTAGATCTTGGTCCAGAATAAATACTAGGTCTTCCCTTATGCATGGAGTTTCGAACCTTATGGCTGCTCCTCTGTTTTGCAACTAAACTTGCTATTCCTTTGGTAGATTCATCTGGAATGGCTAAGGAGATGTGAAGAAAAGAAATCATATTTAGGTAGAAAACTTACTCCCTTTTTTATCCTTAGTATCTGTGTTTATAGTTTTTAACTCTCCAAGGAGCTGTTTACCCAGGCAGCACGATAAACAGTAACTCTTGATTCCTCGATTTCTTGCATTTTAGGCAACAGCTTGCTAGCTCTTCTACCAGCTGAAGAAAAGATAACTTAATGTGTTATTACTACAACAAATTGACTCCTGACAGATCTGTAACCCTTGGGATGAAGTGCAAACTTCCCTACAACAGTTTTTTCTTGTGCTTCACGGAATTTAAAACATGTTTTTATAATTAAGAAGTTCTTTTTTTATTTCTCCCGACTTAAGGTCCAAAAACCTGAAATCACATGTAAAAGTGTAGTTTTTGTGAGTGCACGATTGTCTGGGGAATGGTTCATTTTGCAGAGGTTCTAACTTTGCCCACAACCTCAAAAGCACCTATGAGTCTCCCTCCCCCGCCAAATTAAAATCCACTGGCTGGGATGCATAAATAACTGCAGAACTAGAATAATTATTTACTAAGCAATTGTTTTTATTACAAAGTTTACAGACCTTCAAAAATCTTAAACCTACCTTTCAGTATTACAGTACCACCTGCACCATGGCAGACACTAACAACATCAGGCATGTCCAATACCAGCTCCATAGTGGACCGATACCCAAGGATTCGGAGTGGTAGATGGTTGCCAACCATCAAAAGGTACTCCTTCTCCAACTCCTGTGGGCTCAAACCATCTTTGGTGGAAATGAGAAGTGATCTTATTTCCTTCCGCAGACATTCCTGTATACGCTCTTGTTCAGACATTGTGTCCTACAGGACTGAAGACAGAAACGCGGCTCATGAGGAAAAAGGGGCAAACCCATGAAAAAAGATTTTTTTTTAAACAACCAACAGTGGGATACAAATAACTGAGACGCCTGTTTTAAGGGTAATAAGGCAGAAGCAGTACCCAGAGGGTGTCTTGCGGATTGCACGTGGCCGGGCGATTCAAGCCCTGAATCTCCACCTGCGTTGATTAAGCTACAGGTGTCAAGAACTCTGCCCCTGGCCATGGGGAGGCGTTAACTGGGGTTCCTGTGGGGTGTTCGACTCCAACGCAAACTTCCTATGCGAAGCCTTCAGGGGCTCCTCGGGAACCAGGACTAGGACCTGAGGCCAACGCAATGCCACCTCCGCCCTGCAGCGCGAGGGCCCCACGGAAAGGCTCCCGCCGCACACCTCCGGCACCCCAAGCCGAGGGGGTGCTCCCAGCTCCCTCTTACCTGAAGGTATCGCCAATCTTCGCCCGCCGCCTATCTGGTCTAGGGTTGGGGTCCCTGCCCCTCCCCCAGCATCTCTCGGTGCCCCTCGCGGGAGCGGGGCGTGGCCCTTCCACCTGCCCTGGCGGCTCTCTGCAACCTGAGGTGAAAAGGAAGGCGAGAGGCGCCAGGTGAGGCGCCTTTCTCGGCCCGGCACCGCCCAGCTGCCCGTCACCCGTCTTGCCCCCACCGCGCCCTGACGCCAACACTGCCGTTGCGGGCCGGGTAGAGACTAGGACGCCCTCTCGGAAGCGGCGCAGGAAGGTAGCTGCGACGGCCGCCCCGCGCGCCTGCGCACCGGCGCCCCCTGACCGGGAGGCCGACCCCGGGGCGCAGCGTTCCAGCCCCGAGGGCACGTGGCCGGTGGGACGGTTGGGCAGGATTAGCCGCTCGGGGGTCAGGTGTGAGGTCCGCCCCAGTCTCAAGAGCCGCTGGGCCGGGCTGCAGAGGCGGGCCGCCTTCCAGGATCCCAGGCGCCTACCTCCTCCGAAGTGGTGAGAAGGTGGGGCTACAGCACTTAGACCAATCCAACCACCTCCAGAGCGGGGGCCCGGCCGGGCGCAGGGAGGGAAGCGGACCGTGTGGGCCTCAGAATCACCTGCGGGACTATTTAAGAGGAGAAAAGGATGCACGGGTCTGATAAGCAGAGATTCTCATTCAATAGCTCTGGATTCATTTGAGGAAAATCACAGACAATTCTGATTCTTGGTGGAGAATCCCTGCAGAGCTCAATGCAACTCTGGCTCCCTGATGAAGGAATGAGTGGGGCTAGGAGACCTTTTTAAATGAGTGGACAACATTCTAGGTGCAACTGGAGATTTATCTGGATATATTTGTTGGTTTGGTAGAATAAACCAGATTTACAAAGTCCTCGAAAACCAGAAAACAGTAGTTTAAGAAATACAGAATAGGGAGGCATTGTATAATAGAAAGGCTTGTACCTTAAAATGTACAGTCTAATTAAAGAAACAAGACAGACCAAAATAACCAAATAATTTGAACCAACAAAGAGGCTTGAGCACACACAACGACCTTATCTTCCTTCTTTTTTTTCCCCCTATAAAATGTAAGGTTTAATATACGAGAGCAAGGAACACCTCGGAGGCTGTGCCAGCGCGTGTGGCTTCGTGTTTCTGTGCTACATGAGACTAGTGTCCTCGTCTTCCATCGTGACAACCCTTCTCTCTCCACCCCCCCACAGTGCCAATAGGCTCTGGGCAAAGCTACCCCGTTTTCTTTTAACCTAAGGGATGCCATGGTTTGGCTGACTACGTTTGACTACCCCCACTGATGTCTGAAGCGGCCAGATACCGTGGCGATGGAAATCAGGCGAGGTACTGGCATGGAGGGTGGGGGTGCCGGGTCAAGGTCGTCTGGGTTCTCAGGAGCCAGTCTGTGCCACAGAACTATCGGCAGCTGCCTTTGTAAGGCACCTCGGGTTGGCATTCGGAAAAACCACCCCGTCTTGCCAGAGCCCCTTGGTCTTGGTTAGCAAAAGCCGTATCAGATCTAAATCATGCTTTCAATCATGAGAAATCACATTCCTTCTTTTCCCTTTCTAATGTATTCCAGTGTGTCTTTTTTTTTCTCAATTTTAATAAGCAAATTGTACCACCGTCTTATTCTGAGATGCTTCTTTTTAAAAGCTGTAGATCACATTAATGGAAGTGTTTACTGCTGGGAATATTTTCCATGTGCAATGATCTGTAACCCTCTTAACTAGTTTAACTAGTTGCACATTATTAGTTCACATCCAGTTCAATTCATAAATTAAGAGAGGTGCCATTTGTCTGTAAAACCAATCAATATATATTTATGAACTTCTTTTATTCAAATATATTTCCACACATCTTAACTAAATACTTAATACAGAAGCCCGTGTGGGTTGGGCAATGTGGCCCAGGAAGGCCTGAGACTAACACATCCACCTCGGCAAAAGGACAGAAAATATCTCTTATGGTTGGGAAAAAATAGCCTTTTGTGTGTTTATTTAGTTTACAAAATATACTCAAAATGCTATTATTAGCTGAATTTGTGATTTCCTTTTGAATTTCTGAGTTATTCTTATTTTTCCCATTTTGTTTTTGTACCAAGGAGACCGCAGTCAAAAGAAAGTTAGTCGGCAACTCATTTCCTTTGAACTGAAAAATTCAACAGATACTAAATTATGACAGTGATTTAGAAAGGAGGACTCCAGGGGCTTGAAAGAACATGTCTGGAATAATATGATGCTTCTAAGAGTATTGCGATCACAACGTGGTAAGCACCAGAGCATGCTGCATAACTACCTCCTTGGCTAATATGCTTTCTTCTTGGTGATGACCAATCATCTTCTATTAAACAGCAGTAATGCTGGAAGAACTCAACTACACAAGTGTAATGAAGCCAGTATTCTCCCTGGACAGATTACCTACAACTGATTTGACACATACCATGATAAGGGCTTCAAACCTGACAAACTCTGTACTTGCTTCTGATTTATGCCATCAAGCTCCTCAGAGAAGAGATGGAATCCAAGTGTTCCATTTGGTAGAGGTGAAATGTACTGATGTGCTTAACTGCCAGTTAAGGAAAGTTGCCCCTTCTCCTTGTTCCTCACCTCCCCTCCCCCTCAGATCCACATCCCTTGTGCCACCAGGACAAGGGTCCTGTGCTGTGTGCTATCATCAAAGAGCCAAGGCCTGTTGCTCTCTCCTGCTTGTGGTTTAGGGGAGTTTATGCAAAGGAGCTGCTTCTGCAGTCTCCCAGCCGCCTCTTCACCCCTTGAGGATGTCCAGGTTTTGTGATTTTGTTTGGGGTGAGGGTGGGTGGGTGGGAGGAGGAACCACCAGGAAGAGGAGGGGATGCGACAGGACTCACGTGTTGCGACTTCCAAGTGAGTATGCTGCAATGCTGCCGCATCCCGGGTATGGCGGGCAGGCAGGCACGACTGTTCCTCAGATGATGGTGGCTACCCTCCCGCTGCTGTTGTTCCGGTTATTGTTTCTCCTGGACAGGTTAGGGGTAGCCATGAGCACTCAGCGCTCGTCGGGGCAGCCATACTCCAGCAGCACATTGATGCATTCCTGCCTGGAGGCCTGCCAGGTGTAGGCCAGCGCTGTGTTCCCATGGGCATCTCGGACCATGATGTCCACCCTGTACCAGATCAGGAGCTGCGCCAGGACCACATTTCCCTTGCGGCAGGTCAGATGCAGTACAGTGCAGCTGTCTCTGTCTCCCTCCCCAAAGGTTTCTTTCACCTCGTCCCAGGAGCCGTGCACCAGCGGCAGGATGGCTGTTCACAGGTCCTCGTCTGTGGTGGCCCACAGCAGGTGCTGGCCCAGGGACAGCTCCGTGCAGGGTAGCGGGGCCAGGAAGAGCTTCTGCTCGTACTTGGCATGAATCCACTGTTCCTTCTTTCCCCTTGTGGAGTCTACTGAGGGTTTTGTCCACCCCTGGCTGCTCTCTTCCCAGACGTTGTTGAGTATCTCATTCCCAATGAATGACATCATCTTGATAAGCTCAACTGGCCAGTCATCCAGGTCCAGAGATCAGACTCAGGAAAGGTGGGTGCCAAGATTCCAGTGGATCACTAAGCACTTGATGCACACGAGCGCTCCCAAGTTCAAACTGGCCCAGTTAGGATTCTGCGTCTCACAGTCCACACAGTAGGAGTTCCCGTGCATGTGTCGGATTGACTGCAGGGCCATGGCCTCGCTCTGGTTCATCAGCTGGGACTTGTTCTTGCTGCTCTTGCACGACTGCAGGCTCGCCAGGCTGACCAGGATCTGGCACTTGATGGCTTGGACCCAGGTGTACCACTCCTCATTCGTCGTGGTTTCAAAGTGCCACGTTTGGCCAGTGAGGGACACAATGATAAACTCAAAGTTTTCTTGTTCTTTGGTAGTGTCGGACAGGCCATCAGCTTTGAAGTTGCTGGTGGTTTTCTGCCTACATTGCTTCTTTCTGTTGGCGTGAGGGGAGGTGGGCTGGTGGTGCTGGAGTTACTGGGGTTGGAGCATACGGAGTCACCCAGCCCCATGTCACTGCTGATGGCCAAGTTTGCAATGACTGTAGCCTCACTCCACTGGTTGACTCTGGAGACTGAGTAGGAGCGCTGGTGCATGCCATTTGGTTGGCTGTTGAAGGAGACCAGGCTGATGCTGCTTGCCATCTGAGACCCAGATGCACTAGTGACATTCCCTGAATTGAATGAGATGTGTAAACTCCTCGTGTACTTGTTAGGCCATTGGTTTTAGACCTGGAGATGGGCATGCAGGCCGACGTGGCTTAGGGTAGCCTCTTCCCTGGGACTTTCATGGTAGTTCTCAGAAGGTCAATCTCCTTACCATGAACATTCTGCATGTAATCATGTAAACTTGGATGATAGGTTCGCACACTATTGTCACACAGGGTGACATATTTCTTTTTCCATTCTTTATTCAACGATTTGCCACTTTGCTTCAACAGCATGCCCTGTATAATTGGCGTGGCTTGGCTGCTCCTGATGCTGTACGCACGACTCTCCAGGCCTTTCTTCTCTTTGGGTCGCTCCCTTTCTGAGAGGTGAACCGGTTGGACCCCCGCTTGGACTGCTTAGGGGCATGGGCGTGTTGGCAGTGGGAGGAACATCCATCTGAAGTTCCTTCTGGCTGGTGCTGGGGGTCTATGGAATGGAGGAGGAATAGTCACTTAAATTCCCACCTCCATTATTTATCTAGCTGATGTGCATGGGGGACACCTGTGCAGAACAGATGGCGGAATGGCTTGGAGAATTGGGCAGCGACTTGCGGGGTCCTATGGACAACTGCTGCTTCTTCCCTGTGGCAACAATCTTCTGGGCAACCTCCTGGAAGTTCCTCTCCACGTTCAGCCGGTACATAGCACACGTCTCGTAGTACGTGCACCGCTTCAGGCCATTGAAGCGCTTCCTTGCCCTGGCATCATCAATGACCCTCGGGTTAGTGAAACTTATGGCATCCTGGGTTCCCACCAGAACCAGAGGAGTCTCGCTCATGTTCCGATAGTTGGCCATTTGACTGCAGTAAACGTCTGGAAACTTATTTCATCCTCCAAGCTGAAGACAAATATAACTGCGTCCACCCACATGGCAAACTGCGCCTCCGTGGGGGGTCCCCTTCGTCACTAATCAGCAGCAGATAGCTCTGTCCATCAACAACAATCTCTTTCTTGAACCTGCCACCACTTTGAGCTCCGGGACGGACAGACTCAGCGTCCGTTCCTAGCTGTTCACAAAGGCATCTTCCATGGCAATGACGTGCTCCCAGATCTGGTTCTGCACCACCGGCTCCTCCACGCACCCCAGCAGCTCACAGGTGGAGTAGACGTTGTGGTGGACCCACTGGAAGCGCTGGATGTCGGCCCGGATAGCAGCCGAGTTGGCCAGCTGCTGCCGGTAGTTTATGGTGCAGGCGCCACGCCCGGAGCCAGCATCCCCCCAGGAAGGCGGCCCGCCGGCGGCGGGCGGAGGAGGCTAGAGAAGAAAGGCACGGGCGTAGCAGGCGCGGTGGTCTCAATTCATAGCCGGGACCAGCGGCCGGCAAGCCTGCTGCGAGCGGTCGGACCCCAGCGTCCCGGGTCAGTACGTCACCAGGGGGAAGCGCGCCCCCACTGCCCCCACCTGGAGCGCCCAGCGAATGGCGTGACGGGCCCAGGAGGTGGCTCGCTGGGGCGCCTTCCTGTAACGCAGCCTCTTTCCAGCCCTAGGCCCGGCTCCGCCGAGCAGCCATTAAAAGCCCTGGCATCCGCTGAGCTCCGAACTCCGAGCCCCGAGCGCCGGGGCCGGGGGCCAAGGGCCGAGGGCTGATCCCCGGTCAGTGTGGCTGCGCCGCTCCGGGCGCCTGGCCTCGGCCTTCTTTCTTAAATCTGAAGACATAATGCTTTTTTTTTTTTTTTCTCCAGCCAAGGGAACAAAATGTTCCATCAATGAGCCAGGAATATTGAGGAATCCCTGAAAGATAGAAAATAAGACTTATGGACTGGCTTATAGCAGAATGGGCAGGGCTGAACAGCAAATTAACAAAAAGGAAAATTATAAGACATGGAAAATGGATCTAAACCTTGCAACATTTGAATGACAAAAATTGTAGATACGAAAACCAGCAAGAATGATGGTGAGGGTTGGGGAGTTAAAAAGAAGAAAATGTCCCAAATTTGCACCAAAACACGTCTTATTAAAAGGGCCCACTCAGAGTTCTCAGAATAATTAATGAAAAAAGATCTTGTCCTAGGTAAACTATAAGAGAAAGAGAATCAAGAGATTTTTATATGGAAACGTTACCTATAAAACAATGGAAATTAGTTTGCCCTTGAATTTCTCAATGGCAGTATCTTCAGGGCTAACTCTGGAATCCTTTAGGGTAACCAACAGTGAAGTGAGAGAAAATAAAAACATCCTCAGACATGAAACGATTCAGAAAGTTTATCATCTCACTGAATGACTTGAAAGTGACTCCTGCAGAATGAACAACGAATTACAAAAAAGATGTCCCAGATTCTCATCCCCAACAGATGAGGCAACAGACATTGAGCACATACTATGTGCGCTCTACACAGATTATCTCATTTTCTTCCCAGTAACTCTGAAAAAGGTACAATTATGACGCCCATTTTAAAGTGAAGAAACTCATATACAGATGTGAACCAGAATATATGAGTGATAGTCAATAAAAACATAAAATATGTTATTGAATCAAAAAGTTATTGGTGCATAATATAAAAAAGAGAGAGTTTTTACAAAGATATTCTGGAGTTAAATCCCAGATCAATAACTGCAAAGCAAGTGGCAGAGGCTGTGTGAAGTTGCTTCATTAGAAAGACTCCATGTGGGAACAGTAACTACCCTTAGAGTCCCCACTTGATTGGGTTTGCAGTAACCAAGACCTATCAGTCATCTGTGGCAGCTGATCTGTGAAGTGAACGGGAATGAGGTGGGAACCATCACAGTAGTATCTTTCTCTCCTTTGATGGTAACACATATCTCTGCAGTTCTCCAGGAATATGGCATTGCTTTTGATGTACTGTTTTGGCACCCCACTTGGTACTTCCTACCGGAATAGCCCTTATACCATGGGTGAGTGTACCAATGTAGGAATTCTGCCAGTTGCTAAGATTACCTATTCCAGCTATTCACTTGGCAACTAGGGCCCTTAACCACAGGATGAATTCACAGTCCTGCTAGCCCTGCCCAAAGGTGAATCTGGGCCAGAATTCAGTTCTTTTGTCACCCAACCTCTATAAGCTCAAAATGTTGATGGCAAACAGCAACACTTTGGGTCCCAGAAATTAGTGTTAGTTTGGGATTTGCATATGATATTCACTAAAAAGTTTGAGTATTTCCTTTTCTCCAGAGCAGTTATCTATAAGGGAGCACAAACTCTTTGGGGAGATGAAAGTTTGCATGCAGTCTTAGGTACAGTATTTCCACAGCGTCCTCATTCAAGAATATTTGGGCTATGCTCAAAAGGCTGTGGATCTGGGATCTGATTTAATGCTGGTAACAGGGTGACAAGTTGTATCTCTCTTGCTCAGGAGAGGCCTCTGTTCCCCAGATATAAAGCTGTGTTTTGTGGGTTGATTTTTGGTTTCTTTAGAGACAGGATCTCACTCTGTTGTCCAGGCTGGAATGCAGTGGCATGATCGTAGCTCACTGAAGACCTGAACTCCTGGGCTAAAGCAGTCCTCCCTCCTCAGCCTCCTGAGTAGCTAGTCATGCATGCTCCACCATACTTAGCTAATTTTTTTTTTTAACTTTTTTTTGGAGGGGGAGGTAGGGGTCTTGCTATGTTGTCGATGCTAGTCTCAAACTCCTGAACTGAAGCAATGCTCCCACCTTGGCCTCCCAAAATGCTGGGATTATAGGCGTGAGTCACTGGCCGGTTTGTTTTTGTTATATAAACCAAAAAGACTTAATGGGTTATTTGTTGAGT